GGCCTCCGCACTTAGACAACAAAATGCACGCTAAACCTGATTAACAGAGACAGTTGCAGATTTTAAAAAGTTGAAGTTGCAGAAACCTATAGGCAGGATCTCTATGTGATTCTGGATTTTAATACATGTGGCAGTTTCAGATGTAAAGTGCTATTTTGGAGGCATGCTTTTCGGATAATTATATTTTAGGGAATCTGGCGTTGTGTACTAATTGTTAAAACTATAGATTATAAGTGTTTAAACCTGTGAACATGATATCTAGGTGTAGTAGTTGGCAGTGATAACCAGGGAAGATATTCAGAATTACTTAATTTGATCCTATAGGCATGCTTTCTAATAGTTGACAGTTTGAGCTGATTTTATGCATATTGGCTCTTATAGGCATGTTATCTAGACAGACTGTGATGCAGCAACGAATTTAAGTAATTAAAATCCAATAGGCATGATATCTATTGAGCGTGGTGCAGGTTGTAAAGGGGGTTATTAGTATTCATTCCCTATAGGCATAATATCTAGTGATCGGACAGAAATAAATATAAGAGCAGGTAAAACATTTATTCAAAGATCATGCTTGTGCAGGTATTAGGCAAGCTAAGTGAAGTGTGTGATTTCCTAATATCATGACTTCTATGGGACTCATGTAATCGAACAACATATATAGAAAACATTGTCAAGTTCTATAGGCATGTTATCTACCCATGAAATGTAGATATAGAATTCTACCCATTCCCTTTTTACTAACACCCCAATTGTTTATACAAAGTGTTATTACAGGCCCATATTAATAAGTAAAATAGTAATATTACATGGCATTCGACATGCCTATAGCAGGCCTAATTAAACAATTAAATACCCAGCCTTGTTGGGCCTTCAACATTTCTGGCCTAGCATACCACACGATCATAGGTCCATAGGGGAGTTCAGAACCTTTTAGTGAAACCACAGCACCAAATATTGCATCACATGTAATCAACACAATATATGATAGGGAGGTAGGGTATCAGGGACAGTTTTTAGAAGTTGGAGAGTGACTAGGGCCTAACCCTAGTGTGTTAGAGTTCACAAGGGCCTCAATTGGACCCCGAGCAGTGCTCACACTAGGGAGGCCAACAACAGAACCTAGATAGACTTGGCTTTCAGCCGGCTAAGAATAGATAGAGATCATTGAACTAAACATTCAGCAAGAGGCACATAGCAAAGTGTCACATAAACTAGCATCATAGGAACTAGGAGAAGAGACATGTTTGCAAGCATACATAGGTTGCACTAGTGGACATCTAAGGGTCTAAATTTACTTAGTCTCACCTAATGCCGTATTAATCAATACTTGAACACAATAAAGGGATACACATGTTGATAACCACAGAAAGGAGAGCACAACAGCTAAACCAAGACATATTAGGAAACATGTTATCACAAGAGTCTTAGAAAACAGAGTTGGGAATCCAGGACAGCATGAAACGAGTTTGAATAGGTCTTAAAACACTCTAATATACACAAGATGCATTGAAAGATCATTCAAATCAAATGGTTCTCATAAAGCTAAGGCATTACTTAAGCAAAACATACAAATCAGCATACAACCACAGTACTGAGGTCCAAATTGACATGTTAAGATGCTATATGAGTATAGAACTAATCCTAGGAGATAAGAGATCATAGGATGCAGATTATGGTAAAGCATGACATGAACAGTAGACTATTCTCAGGCATCAATTAACACAGAATGATATCAAAGATGAACACCATCACAATGGAACCAAAGTTCAGATACATGTGCAGAAGGAAGGAAAGAAATTAAACATTATGAGGTTTAAACACTAACCAGTAGCAAGATAAAAGAATGCAGAGTGTAGAAGTAAACCCCAAATTCTCGATGCTTCAGAGTCACAAGAGCCTCGAGAATGGGCTTCGAGCAGTGCTTGCACCGGAGGAGGTTATTCAATAGTTTCAGAGAGTTTAGAAGTAGCAGTGAGTGAACGAGAGAGTAGTGGGAAAATAGTCGTTAAAGTCTGGGGTCTAAAACCTCTTCTCAGAGGGGTTTATATAGTGGAAATAAATCAAGTAAACATGGAAAGTGTTACTTGCCAATGATTAGACGAGATTCTGTATCATGCCGCGATGTTAAATCAGGCGCTTGTTGGGAGACAATCCATCTTTACTGCTTTCTTTTATTTTTATTTTTATCTTATTATTGTTTTAATGTTGTTTTTGTTTTGTAGGATTATAAGAATAGGAAGCAAAGCCATTGGAAGAGTGTAAAAGTGAGTTAGATGGTGAGAACTAAGTGTGGGGTGCCACACAAAGGACCATGTATGGGGAAAGTCTGAGTTCTCCGTGAGCCGCTATTGTTTCGACCTTTGGCCTTTCAGGGTGTTTCTTGTCCACCCTTGTTATTGTTTTGCTTTATTTGTGCACTGGGGACACTGCACTCTTTTAAGTGTGGGGTGAGAAAATTCTTAGATGATTAGTAGTAGGATGTAGAAAAACGTTAACTTCTTATTTGTGATTTCGTAGTTGTGTAGTATTTTAGTTATGAAAAAAATCGGGAAAAAAAGAGCAGAAAAATTGGACTTTTCCCGACGATGGATCTCCTAGACACTTTTCTTGAGGGATTTAAGTCTAAAGAAAAAGGACAAAAAGATTTTCTTTATAGGTAGTGTAGTAATTACCCCTTGATTTTTCTTTGTGCAGCGGTTCTTTTCCAAGGGTTTTGTTTGAACCAGGTGTAGGTAGGTTTTATTTTTTTTAGGATAGGAGCCATTGTGATGTGAATTGAATTGAAGCAATATCTCTTGACTTTGTTATGCCTTGAGAATAGTGAGTACTTTGGATGTGACACTTAGGCTCAGTTTTTGACTCTTGTATAAGTACCTTAAATTGTATAATCTTAAATTTGCTTAACTGCTTTGACTAGAGTGTCTTGATGAGTCCAATCCTGAGTGAGTTATGTGGCATGTGTGTATGAGGTTTGTATGTTATTCTGTGCATTGCATTTGATGTCTAGAACTTGCCTCGTATGTTTGCAAAGCGAAATAGTAGTTTTGTTCGTTCTTTGTTGAGCCAAATATATATATAGTTTACCTGCCTAATTGTTATGTATCGTACTTAACCTCGTTGAGCCTGTAATCCTGTTTCTTTGACAACCACATTACAAGCCTTACCCACTTGTTTGAATTAACCATCTATTTGAACCTTTTCACCTCTCATGAGCACTTGAATTGTTATGAACTTTGTAAAAGTTAAAGTGTGGGGTGATTGGTGTGGCTTTTGAGTGGAACTAATAAAATAAGGAGAAAGGTGCACTGTTTTGAAAAAGTAAGAGCCACTTGAATTGGAAAGGAAGAAAAAATATATATAGTTGTATTGCTGTGAAAGTATTCCGTGATAGTGGTGACTCTTGATGTAATTGTGCTTAAAGAAATATGGAGTTAGTATACATTGATGTGAAGGTGGAATTATGGTTCGGCATAAGTATGGGGTTTGAATGTTAAAGTATATGTATTAAAGTGCTTAGGGAGGTGTAGCTACTCTTATATTCAAATGTATCCTACCCGACCCGTAGCCTATATTACAACCAATGAAAGTCCTACTTGATCCTAGACTGAATGAGCTCAATTAGTAGAGTAGTACACTACGGGCAAGCCTATGGTGCATCTTTTGTAACATATGAATGTTATTTCTGAGAGTGAGTGAATTCTTTCTATCTTGAGTTCCTAATTGTTCTTAAATTTTATTGTGTCTGGGATACTCTCTTTTGTTGTGTGAGGGCACTTGATTCATGAAAGAAATGTAATATCATTGACCTCTATGTTAGAGTAAGTGAGTGAATTGTGAAATAATGCATGATACTTGTGATCAAATCTTGAGGTAAAGATGTTACACCTTGTGCTTAGTCTATTTAAACATTTTTGGTGTGATGAGTTAGGAGGATTGTTTAAAAAGGTTGTGTCTATAAATGTAGTTTGATTCCTCGAGTACGAGCAATGTTTATGTTTGGGGTATTGATGTGTGGCTATAATTCATGGTTTAGCACATTATGTGCCTTGCATTTTACATGCTTTAATGATAAATTACACTTTATTTGCGCGTAATGAAGTCTATTTTATGTGTAGGTGAATTGGAGATGAAAGTAGAGCAAAAGGAATACTTAAACGTTGAAAGTATGCTCGAGAACAGTGAAAAGGAAAGACCTGGCGAGGCCAGGCAAAAGCCAGCTTAACCAGGCTTTAGCCTGGCGAGGCCAGCCAGTGACACTAGAAATTTTCTTAAGTATTGGGATTCTTAAATACGATATATAATATTCAAGAATAAATATGCAATATTCTTAATGGTTGTCTTTAGTTTGACATAATCGCTAGATATTCGTATTGATTTCACTTTTACATTGCCACACTGATTTCTGTACGTAAATTCCTGAAAAATTATCCTGTTATCCGATACACTAGCAACGCTGTTTGGTCTTTCTTTAGTCTTCTCCATTTCTAATTACCTGATTGCTTATTTTAATATTTTCCTTTTACTTGCATGAGTTATCTAAAATTTTGAATAAGTTAAAGCTTTAAACAAATAAATAATTACTCCATAATTAAGGTTGACAGAAAAAGCACATCTTACAAAAAATAAACCTCGAGTAGATGGAACATGCTCCAGTGTCTAGTTACAAATAAGTAGAAAATGGTATATTTTTAGGAAAAAACTTATCTCTAGATATATCAATAATAAATTTAAATATTACATTTATGAATAATATTAAAATATTTAGTTGTTTCTTTTTATTAGTTATGGATTTTCTTAAAATTTCATGCTCAAATTGGGAATCAAATTAAACAAATATAATCACATGAATTAAGTGAAAGTTTACCATTTGTGCTGGATTCAATTAGTATTTACTCTCTTTTCGTTAATGACAATTTTTTTTATTAAAACGGAAAAGAAATTAAAAGCGTATGCACAAAGTTAGAAACTGTACACTTGTAGGGTTAAAAACCTATATTTCGGAAAAATATTTATAACCTTCCAAATTTTGAGATTCCCATACTCTCCTTAGCTGTCTCTCACTTCTCTCTGAATATATATTTTTCCCACAGTCGCCGGAATCTTGTCCGTTACAGAAACCCCTACACCTACGGCCGTAAATAGAAAAACGGAGAACTCTAAATCTCCGTTCCCGATGTCGTCGCCGCGCATTCCCTTCGCCGTTTTTCTCGTGATTGCTTCTTTACTAATCTCCCCTTCACTATCCCAAACATGTTCGTCACAGAAATTCACCAGCAACAAGGTTTATGCTCGTTGCAGCGATCTTCCGGCACTCAAATCGTTCCTCCATTGGACATACAATGCTGAAAACTCCACTCTTGATGTTGCCTTTGTTGCTCCGCCGGACAAACCCGACGGGTGGATTGCGTGGGCTATTAACCCAAAGGATACGGGCATGGTCGGGGCCCAAACATTGTTTGCGTTTAAAAATTCCAAAGGCGAAATGGTGGTTAAGACGTATGATCTTTCGAGTTATACTTCTATTAAGGAGTCGTCAAAGTTGTGGTTTGATGTGAAAGAGTCCGCGGCGGAGTTCTCCGGCGGGTTGATACGGTTGTTCGCGACGCTTGTGCTGCCGGAAAAGGGCAAAACGACGTTGAATCATGTGTGGCAGGTGGGACCCTCCGTTTCTAATGGCTTTCCAGCTAAGCATGATTTTCAGCCAGCTAATTTGAATTCTAAAGGAACCCTTGATTTGGTGAGTGGTGAAAGCAAAAGCGATGCTTCTGGCGATTCTAAGGTCAAGAGAAAAAATGTGAGTTCTTTTAGACCCTGCTTTGACTCTTATATTAGTTTTAAAGGTTTGTTAATCTATGCGTTAAATTTGGCTTAACGGGTGGGAACTAAAATGGTCAAATCTTTGAATTTTTGAGCAAACACAGAATTTTCTATAGGTGCTTTTGTCTGCTATTGTATTCTTGGATATGGAACCATTTCAGTTTAGAGAGAGCTTTATTGCATATAGCATCCGTTACTAATTTTTTTTTCTTCTTTTTTGTCTATTTTTGCCCTTTTATGTTTAGGGAGTATCCAAGTATGTAGTATTTGTGGAACAAGATTTAAGGGTTTCAACAAAGATTTTAGGCTCAGAAATCATATATTGGTGTTCATAGGGAATCTTGAAACAACTACTAGCTGTTACTCTATATTCAACTGATGTTTTTTGAATTGTTAAAAAGATAAAGTGTTTTTTGGTCGAATTGGTAGTATTTTTTGAAGAATTACAGGCTAAAACATTCATTTTATCCAAAAAATAACATAGCAGATTACATAGTACTTAGAAAAGATTGAAAATCAACTCAAACCTCCCCTATTTCTTCCCACTGCAATTTGTGGACTATTATATGATTTTTAGGATCATTATTTAGTTGATGGTTGATCCATTTGCTGGAGCGTTTAAAAAATTCTCTAATTCTTACTGCAGATCCATGGAATCCTTAATGCTATTAGTTGGGGTATTCTGTTTCCAATAGGGATCATCATTGCAAGGTACTTGAGAACATTCAAGTCTGCAGATCCAGCTTGGTTTTATCTTCATGTTTCTTGCCAGTGTTCTGCTTATATTATCGGGGTTGCTGGCTGGGCAACAGGTCTTAAGCTTGGAAGTGAATCAAAGGGTATCACATATGATACTCATCGTAATATTGGGATTGCACTCTTCTCTCTCGCAACATTGCAGGTAATGCTTCTTGGTTCCTTAGTCCCGAGTCATTATCTTTTGCATTCGTTATTTCGTTTATGCTACTGAAGCTAATCTTTATTTTTCAGAACCTTGTTATATGCACCTTAGATAGACAAATTCTTTGAACAGCTAAATACTTGGGATAAGAATTGTTGAGTTGATTTCTTGTGGATGTGCTGGTTTTCCGTTTGTTTTTAGGTTTTTGCCTTGTTACTGAGGCCCAAGAAGGACAATAAGTACAGATTTTACTGGAATATCTACCATCATGGAGTTGGCTATACAATGCTTGTCCTCAGCTTGATTAATGTGTTCAAAGGTCTTGACATACTAGATCCTGCGACTAAGTGGAGATCTGCATATATTGGTATACTAGTGGTGTTAGGAGCAATCGCCCTATTGTTGGAAGTGATTACCTGGATTGTTGTGTTAAAGAGGAAATCTAACAAATCCACCAAACCATATGATGGTTGATTCTTACATTGGCCGTGGGAGACTATAACCCTGGCGTTCATGATCGGTTGCTATTGTTATCACTGCCCATATCAGTTATATATATATATTAGCTTGAAGAGATTTTTTTTTATCCCCTAGCTCTTATGTTCTCCTCATTGTACAATGGCTTTGAAACTCAGTTCTTGTGTATAAATATGTGACTTGACCACTTAAGTTGCAGAACACTTTAGCAAGGTTAGGACACATTTTTTGGTTTAAACTTGAAAAAAATGAGTTTTTGAAGATGAGTTGAAAAGTGGTTTTTGAAAGTTGAAATTGTTTTTGGACATCATTTTACTTGAAAAGAATTTGAAGTTTTGTGAGAAAAACTTCAAAATTTTCAAAAACTACTCTAGCTGTTTTTGAGTTTTTGAAAAATAAATTTGAAAAAAAAACTCCCAAATTTTTTTAGCGAAACGGCAAAATTGTCTATGTTATTAGGTCATTTTGGAGCCTTTCTTGAATGCATTACTTGCTTTTGATTTTCATTGCTAATTTATTTTGTGAATGCATGCAAGAGCTATTGTTAGCCCAGAAAATGATAGTAGTATGACACTTTTGATGGGGATTGCTTGAACTAATGCTAAACCTGCTTTCCTTTCCTTTCCTTCAACTTGTCGTTTGTGTTTTAAGTGGCTTGTGGAGGCACAGTTGACATTGTCACCTCCGAGCACTTAGGCACATGAGCTTACGCATCATTGTACTATAAAATTAGCACTCATAAGCAATCACATTTACTAACATAATTGACTAATCAAGTATTAACAGGCCATGTGAGAAAACTTCCATAGTTTGTCTCTTTACAAAATATTTAAATCTTCCTCTACAAACTCAAGACAAGCGACTTGGTATTTTTTTATTTTTGTTTTATCCTTTTTTTTATGTTTTAAGGTGAGAGTGGAACTGTGAACATGGAAGAGGAAGATGGACTACAATCATTGTATCAAAAATCAATTAAAAATATCCGAAATTATTTTATGTTGGATTAGACTAGACTCAAAAAATCAATCAATTTTTCCTCGGCGATGTTAACCAACGTACTTCATTTTAATATGAAAGCCACATTTTTTTGGGTTCTGAAAGCAACTCTTCATTATTATAAAGTAAAGGGGAATGGTGGTCCCTTAGCTTTCTGAGTTCCCCACTGCTTTCACCTTTTCATCATTCTCCCCCTTGTTGATATTCCACTTTCAGACTCTTTATTTATGGATTCTCGTATTAGTGCTATCGTTTTCCCTTTCATTGCACTCAATGTGTCAAATAGAGCGTTGTTAGATAATCTTGTCATTAGCCACACGCGTCCGTTATTTAGTAAAAGAAGTTTAACACGTTAATTACACGGTTGCACCTATGCTACAGTGTCTAAGGACAAAAACTATGCTAGACTTTATTCCTGTTTGCACACAAAATCTCGTTTATTCAAATGTTTCCTAGTTAATGAAAACCAAGGAAATTTTAAAAAAGAAATTCCTTCAGAACAAGCCATTTATATCAACTGTAGAAAGTTCAATCGTGTATTTGATCGTATGTTTCTTTGTAACAGTATTTTAAACTTTTATATTAAACAATTGACAAAACTTAGAAATTTCCTCATCCTTTCAATATCTTGCGTGCTGCTTATTGCTAACATTAACCATCTAACTAATCGAGAAGAAAAAGAAGAGGGAGAAAGTGTAATTTGTATTTCTTCTATTAGGGGAATTGTGGTGCTTTTTGAGCTAGGGATAGCTGACTCAAAGCACTTAAAGATAATTATGGAGTTGTGCTAGAGAGAGAAACTCTTCCTTCTCACTAACTTACAGAACACCTTCATCTTCTTAATTCAACAGCTATATGGCTACAGACATTAACCGCCATATCCCCCCCAAACCACCAGATAAAGGCATTACCTCCCCAAAAGAAGAAGTTAAAAGCTTCAAAGAGAAACTGATCGAGGGAATTCAACATTCCCTAACTATTACTGAAGCCCCTACAAGTATGGATACCACAACTAAGGTTCAAGAATCTTTTGCTACGCAAAACTGCCAAATGATGATAGATGAAAATACAATTCAACTCACAGAGGAAGATCAAGCACGATATACCAACCCTGGAAATATTCTCTCATTATAAAGCTTATTGGTAAGAAAATTCAACACCATATTCTAAAAAAGAAAATCCAGGAAGCTTGGAAAATTATAGATAACTTCCCCCTCATCGATTTGGGAGCAGACTACTACATAGCCAAATTTAAATGTGAAGAGCACATGATTAAAGTTCTAAATTCTGGACCATGGTTCATATTTGGCCATTTCCTCTCTATCCAAAGATAGAAGCCAAACTTTGTGGCAACAGAAGTTAAAAGCTCCCTCACTGCCAGTTGGATCCGTCTGCCCCAATTGCCAACTGAGTTTTACGATGGAATCATCTTGGCAAAAATAGGAAATGCCATTGGTAAATTACTAAAGGTTGATGCGTGCACTTCTTCCACTCTAAGGGATCGCTATGCGAGACTATGCATAGAGCTTCCTCTAGAAGTTCTAGTAATCCCTTTCATCAACATTGGCCATCACAGACAAATCATCTATTATGAGGGGGAAAATACCCTATGCAAACAATGTGGAAGATTAGGCCATGTGGCATTGAAATGTTTCTATGCAAAAACACCTCTGACATCAAACCACTTGATGGAAAATACTGCTGCTATCCTGAAGTGATGAACAACTACAATGGAGTAAATGAGCTAGCATGGCAAACGGTTAAGTTCCAAAGAAAAAAAGGACCAATGGGAGAGATTCTGGGAGAAATCAAAACCCAGGTATCCAAGCAAAATCTTTTCATCCAATACCAGGTAAGTATCCTTCCCCTTCCCCTATCACTAAGTATATCCCCATTAATACTCAATCGGTAAATGGCAGTAAACCTACAACAAATGATTGCTATTCTTCTCAAGAAAGCTTTGTGGACTGCAACAATAAATTTTGCACCTTGGTTAGTCCGCCCATTGAAATAAAAATAAAGGAAATTTTTTTACAAAGCCCTAATAATTCTCCTAAGTTAAACGGTGTCATCAACGTGTCTTTACCTAGTTCTCCTACTGTCAATGTGGCTGACATGGAGATCACTGATGTAAATAACATGTAAACCATTATTAACACTACTAATAAAATTATAGTAGATAACAGGACTACAAATAACAATATTACCCAAAATTCTTTAGCCAATCCTTCCGATAATCTTCCTCCTAATCTTTGTATCTCTACTAACATCCCCACTAACCACTGCATGGCAAGAGACCTGATCCCACAACACTTGTCCCACATGCCCCCACCCCCTAGCCAAATGGCCAATAGCGATCACCACGTGCCTATCTTTTCCGACGCACCAAATCCCCTTAAAATCTTTTCTCCTGCATGCAAAGAAAGCATGCAAATAGATCTAATCATTGGCACCCTAGATAGCCATACTACTCCAAAAACCCTTCTATCTTCTTCTGTGCAACTCACCACAGAAAATATAAATCATCCCATAAGCAATCAAAATGCCGAGAATCCCACTATCTCAACGAAGGAGGTACAGCCTTGTTCAAATTCTAAGACACCAAAGAGCTCACTCAATGGCAAATCCACCCCCAAATGTGAACAACCCTCAGGGAAACCAAACAGTATTCTTCATCCAACCACCACTCCCTCAAGATCACCAACCCCTTTCCTGGATAGAACAGGCACTCATGGGTCATGAAGTATCATTCAACATGATACTAGATGGCCAGGACACTGTGATCATCCTCCAGAACTCCCACTTCCTAGCACAACTTGTCAGCGAGGGAATGCACATGGCCATGAGCAATTACCACAACCATGTGTGGTTAAACAACATACTTCAACCTTTGGCACCCAACTTGAATGCTCAACAAGCCCAAGCCATGAGGAACCAGTGGAATCTCCCCCATCACTTCAACCCTCTTCAACCTCAGAACATGAACCTGGATCTCCCTTTCTTTCCCCAGGAGAGATTCAAAACTTGAACCCAATATTCATGCCATGGGCAGCAACCCCCCATTTCCAACAGAACCAAGCCCAAGCAGCTCTACCAGCAAACAATCTACCTCCACAAGCAGCGAATCCCAATGTGCAAGAACACGTAGAGCATCCAGTAGAGAATGTAGAAGAAATCAACTTACTAGGGTCGGAAGAGATAATAGAATTCTCAAGTCTAAACGATGTAAAGGTTTATCTCTTCAGGGAGATGCAAGAGAAGAGATATGTGCTCAATTGCCCTCCACCATTGTACAAGTTCTCAATGGACATCAGACCCCCTCAAGATCCCACGGTTGGGAGCCATGCAATGATTCTAGTCCCTTCCATGAGGAGGAACCCAGTGCTCCATACAAGAATGGAGAACAACCCAACCAACAACCATGTGTCAATGATCTATAGGCCTACCAGCATTATTATTTGGAATATTCGTGGTGGCAACAATGATAACTTTCGTATCAACTTTAGGGAGATGGTTGATACTCACAAACCCTGCATGGTTACCTTGTTAGAAACTCGTACAGAAAATCATGCAACCCTTCTTAATGATTTTCCTTTCACAAACATGGTCGAAGTGCCAGCTGAGGGCCAAGCGGGGGGTATGGTCATCATGTGGGATGCCAGCATAGTGAAAGTGCATGATTTTGTTAGGAGAAATCAGGAAATCCACGCCAATATAGAGGTAACCCCCTTTAACTCTATCTGGTTATTTTCTTCAGTTTATGCAAGTACTACCTTAGGGAATAGATATACACTCTGGAATAATATAGAACAAGTCCATTTAAACAACTCCAAGCCTTGGCTTCTTGGGGGAGATTTCAATGATATTTTTTGTGCTTGTGATAAATTCGGAGGGAATCCTATAAACCGTAGAAGAAGTAACACTCTGTGGAATAGTATCAACAAATGCAACCTCTTAGACCTAGGTTATAAAGGTTCAAAATATACTTGGACAAATAATAGAAAAAAATCTAGAGGCCTTATAATGGAAAGATTAGATAGAGTTTTTGTTAATAATGATTGGCTTTCTATTTTTCCTAAAGCTATGGTCACTCATTTGCCCAGAACACACTCCGACCATAGCCCGTTATTAGTTGCTCTAAATCCTAGTAATATTAATTTCTCTAATAAACCGTTTAGACTAGAGACTATTTGGTG